ATGATATAACCTGAGCACCTCATAGGACGGTTTGCTTAATATAAACCCATTTGTCTTTTTTCGTTTTTTTTTTTTTTCATAGTCGAAATTTTAGATTAGTATCAGAAGGAAACGCGACAATAAGTATATATATCGCTATATATGCTTTTTTATTGATTTTAATTAAATTCGTGGGTCCCTATGGTATGTTGAAATAGTTGAGAAAATTGAAAAAAAAATTTCTAAAATTTCGCTTGAAATGTTATCAAATTTGTTCTATGCGACACTATTAGTTGTGTCGTCATATTTTCTTACCGAAAAATGCTGAAAAATTTTAATTTAAAAAAAAAAAGACTGATTCAGTAAATCAGTCAAAGACATTGTTTAAATAATATCCTATCCGAAGCTTAATTCAATAGTGAGTGTGTGATAGTGATTATAAGGAAAAAGATTAATTTGCCTTCGAGAATTTTGCAACCTCTTGAACTCTAGTCAAAAAAGACGGAAAAGTGCATCGAAAAGGCATCTTCTCTAAATTCTTAAGTGAAGTGATTTTTGGAAATTTTATTAAAAAGTGAAATAATGAAGACGTCGACCGTTCCAAAAGTTTAATGAAAAAGAAATCATTTATACCCATCACTGTCACCCTAAGAAAAATCAAAAAAGAAAAACAACAAGAAAGCTAAAGTTCCACACTCTAAACGCGGCTGATTTTTTCTATTCTCAAGATAAAAGTGGAAAGTTATGTGGTTTATGTGTCATAACTGATGAGTAACAAGCAAAGCAAAGCAAAGGTGTTCGCAGTTTTTAGATCCTTTGATCGGTTCAGGTCATTTTCAAACTCTTTTTGCTTGTCTACTACAAAATTGGGACGATGGATAGATGGACATGCTTAGGTGCAAACCAAATTTGAAACTTATTTATATTTTTTACGGGGTTTTCGTAACTTGTTTTTGCCTATTTCAAAGGTATTGAAAAAAAATTTAAACTGGGCGTGGCCAATATTAGTGCGTGTCCCCATCGCATATATGTGCAAATTTTTGTAGATTTATCTGCTGCAGTTTATGAGTAATGAGCGAAAAATCAATTTTTTTATTTTTTTGAAAAATGTAGTATGGTTGTAGGCATGGCCTTCAACCAATTTGAACCATTTTCAGTACCAATCTGCGTGCAAGAGCATGCGATTTTTCAGTCAAATTTAAAGAGAATAGCTCTCTTTTTGAGATTTGGAGAATATCCACAAAGGATAGACGGAAATGCTTAAATTGATTCAGAATTGGATCAAGAATATATATATACTTCGCGCAAGAACTTGCAGTCAAATTTGATGTCGATAGCTTATTTTTTGCGATCAGGATAATATTCACTAAAGTTATAGACGAAAATTTTAAAAAATGGTCGACGTTTTTCGAGTTTGTTGTTTGTGAACAGGTCGCGCCCTTCCTTTGACCACGTTTTCCTAATTGATCAGGGAATGAAATTAGGGACGAAATTTTAACTTTTTATCTTTATTTTTACGATTGCGATCCAAACAAATTACTCGTTGAATTGAGAAGTTCCGCGTAAAAACATGCATACACAAAACGTCGATAAATTTAATGTTAAGATAATATATGAAATAATTTACGATATGATGCAAGATGATAACTTCTCTTTTCCTTTCTCTCTTTATCTTTATTTATCTTGCAATCCAAAACCTTAAACGCCATCTAGTGATGGTTATTACAAAAGTTTTTTCCAATCTGTCCAATTAGTGGGCATAAAATCTCTTATTTGTTTCTTATTTGAATGTTCAACAATCAGCAAAAAAGAAACTAAGAGCATTTATTTATATATAACATAGTAGCTACAGGACATGTTATAGATTTGAATAATTGATAATAATGATAGAAATACAACTTGCATAATGCTCTATTGTATCTTAAAATAGTTAGCTATGGTTTATCTATGGGTTTGTACGATATTTAGTCATAAATATTAGTATAAATTATATCGTTTATTGGAAATATTTCCTTTGTTGAAAAATAGGCTAATGATGAATGTTAAAAAATAGTGACATCTCTTAAGATTAATTTCATGCATACATTTACTAGTTGACGATCAAAACAAATTAATTGCTCGTTTGCAAAATTTTTTTAAGATTATCAAAAGTGTTTTTTTGCATTAATATTGTACTAAGTAATATAAATAGATAAAAACATAATTTCGCTTTAAATGTTTATTTATTTATTTGTTTACATATGTAGCAAATAAATTTCGTTTTATATTGATGATAACGCGGTGTGGAACTTTTGACCTACCAGCTTAATTTATTTTTATGAAACAAAAAATTATTTTCTCAGAAAAACCCCATTCCATGAAATTTCCCCATGAGATGTAAATGTAAACAAATGGTTGCTGAACGTGAGTGATGATTTCTCTTCTTTTTTCTTTTCTTTATCAATTTATTAATTCAATGGAGATTCTCAGATTTACATGACACATAGCTTAGACGAGATCATCCTCTGGAAATATTGAAAAGCAGATTTTATATGGTAGGAGTAGGTAATTGACGAAAAGACAGAAAAATAAAAAAAATAAATAAAAAGTTTAAGAAAAATGGACTAAAGATGTAAATTTCGCTTCTAACGTATGTGTAATATGCGACAATCAAGATATTACATGCGATTTGAGAAAAACTCTTAAAATCGGGTTTTAAGTTTAATCAAATATTTCATCACAAGATAGGCTGTTACATCAACGCTTATGGCCAAATGGACTGAGAATTATAAGTCACTTTTTTTTTGTTTTATGACCAATCATCCAAGGAATGTCCGCTATTCGTGTGGTACGGTAACGGTCGGAAAGAAGTGAGAAAAGAGAAAGAGATAGGCGGTAGTCTGGTGGATCTCGTGTAATGATACCATATACGTGCCCTTGATCTGAAACATTGTGAAATGTCAGTGATAAACATTGTCCGGATTATAAAAATGAAGACCTCGGCATTCAACTTTTCAAAAACCTTGTAACCTGTTGAGATTTGAACCGGCCAACACACACTCGCACTTACCCGGCTATTCATGTGTATAGACATAGTCACTTTCTGAGGTTAATAAAGTGAATTTTTGCTTTTTACGAATCGAAATATAAATTTCCATCCTTTGGAGATGATCCTAAAAATCCCTATAACCCGACTTTGATTTATGAATTTAAAAGAATTTACAGAATAAAAATATTTCAAGCTTTACAGTTTGTTTCTCTCTTTTTAATTGACAATAGTATTAATATTTCAATTAAAATTTTTTTGTTTACGTTTGGCAACTCTATTATTTGACAAATTCCGTTTGCCTATTAGTAAACCAGTATTTTTAACTTATAAAAGCATTTTTTAATAAATTCGCTCTCAGTTATTTGACATTTCTCATGGTAAAAACGACGGGAAGTTGTTGCAAAAAAAAATCAGTAATTGATTAAAAAGTGGATTCTTTGTAATATTAACATACAATAATAATTTGCTATGTTGTTGTTAATTTCTACATGAAAGTATTAAAAAAATTCATTCCTTAACGTAAATAATTTTATTAAATATTTATAAAATCATCTTAGAGAAACAACAACAAAAAAAGGAAATAGAAAATAAAGACAATTGATTTAAATTTAATAACCAATAGAATAAATCACAAGTGACAACAAAAGGCAAGTGTTTTTTTTTTATTATTTGTTTTTTTATCAATAAACCTGCATTTCACTCTGTGTGCGTAGGGATTGAAGATAAAAAGAGAAAGTTCTTATTCTACCGTTTTTTTTCACTCAATAATTTAAAAAAAAGAAAATAAAAATAATAATAATAAGATTTTTAAGTGTAGAAAAAGCAAACAGAGAAATAATTATTTTTGGAAAATGAAATAACATAATATACACAAACAAAAAAAAAAAAAAAAAACAAAAATATTACGACAGTAAATGGAAAGCAACAGTGCTTGTCTCTTATATTTGTGTTAATTAAAATAAAGTGGGTAAGAGAACGGTAACAACAAAGTGCCAACGTATTTATACTAAGCAGTTGCGCTTGAATCACAAAAAAAAAAAAAAAAACATAAAATAAAAAATATAAAAAAAAGCAAGGAAGGAAAAATATACACAAAAGAAATCGCAATCATTCCAAAATATTTCGTTATAGTGTTCCTGTTTTATTATCATTATTATTATTATCATCGTCAACGACAGCGGGTGTTGATTGCTAATTAAAATTGGATGTCCAATAAAACAAATGTAAGTTTGTTTTTCTCTTCTTTTTTTTTTTTTGAAATAAATTTTCTTCTTGTCATTTAATTGAAAAGAAATTCAAGTGCACTTTAAACAAGTTCATTTATTTGTGTTTTTTCCTTTTTTTATTTTTTTAATAAAAGAATAGAAATCAGAAGAAATAATGTAAGGTTTAAGTCGAATTTTGATATCCACAAGCAAGGTTAAGTTTTTGCAAAACATTCCAGCATATTATCACTACGTATTATCATCCGCCTTAACAGTAGAATTGCTTTAGTCATACACAATAATCTCTGTCCATACCGCATATATAGTATTAGTGGAAACGCATTATCATTATCCATTATTATCGGCGTTAACAGTGGAATTGCTTTAGTCATATACAATATATGTCTGCCCATCGGTCCCCATTGTATACAAAGCATTAGAGGGAATATGAAAACATTCGGCCCAAGGCAAAGTAGAATATCTTTTTTGTTTAACGGCTATCATCCGAGTGATGAACATGCAAGCAGATACATACATAGAGTGAACTTCTCTTCCCTTGAAGTATATCATTTATTTTCATTGCCATGTAAAGTGATATGAATGCTGTAGTATTCAAATTTGAAAAATAATTAATTTTATTTAATTTTTTATAATTAGTTAAAAAATTGGATCTGCATCATCGCGAACGTTATGGGATTCTTTATATATATAGAATTTTATTATAGCTACCGTTACATAATATCTTTAATCAGTTTTGTGTTACCACAAGCACTTTACAAATAAATTGACTAACATTTTGTGCATCTCCCTGACTGGGAACATGTTAAATCATGTGATTTCTATACGCTCGATCAGCAGCCCTTAGGCAAATATGTGAAGTAGTAAGTTTACAAAATCCATATGCTCACTGTCCGTCTTATTTACATATTAATAGTCAACTTTTTCTTTATTAGTAAGTGAAGGCCGAATCTTGCTCTGCTTCCAACTGATTTTGGAATTTGACGTAAGCATGTTGATAGTAAAAAAATTGCAGAGTCTAACTTAAAGTTTAGAGGGAAATCCCAAAATATTAATTGAAAAAACATGAGTGATTTTCTAAATGCCGGGACTTTACAAATTATTGGCGAAAACATAGATGGACGTTTTTCATTCATCAGTTTCAGCTGGAAATGTGTAGTTAAAAGACGAAATATAGAAGAACACATATTGCATATTTCGTTATCCTCTTTTTAAGGCGTGCCTCTAAGGCCTCATTCAATATGAACGCCCCCAAATCAATTTCTCTTCTCGAACAGACATGATTCCTAGAATCTGCTTTCTCTCCGAAAACATGAAGCACTCGGTACCTAGATTTATTATGAGCGAACTGAACCTCCCCAAAGTGTTTCTTGCAATGCCACCCTTTTGGTTGGTCATATTTTTTTCGAATATCCTTTATCAAAAATTAACGGCGCCCTTGAAAAGGTGTTTGACATTTGTAGAACAGACATGATTCCCAGAATCTGCCTCTCCGATGAGTCTCTTGATATCTACATTATTTTGAACGAATTGAATCTCCAAAATCCCATTCTTGTAATGTTTACCTTTATGTCTTCCACATTTCTTCCTAATATTTCGAATTTATCAAAAATTAACCAAGTCCTTGAAAGGGTGCTTAACTGTTCTAGAGCAGATATGATTTTCAGAATTTGCCTTCTCTGCGACTACACGAGACTATTGATCCCTTGATTACACATAATTTACTACCTTAGTTCCACAAGCTTTTTCTATACTCCTGCAAGTAGTTGCTTATCTCTTTAGCTTCACACCATCTTTGCTACTCAATATCCACAGGCGCGCATGATCTAGTTATTTGGCGCTTGTTAAACCATATTTCGTAAATTTATTTATGAGATGAATGGAAAACAAATGTTAAATTATTACTTCCTAGGCAATAAAAGAAAGGAAATAACAGAAGAGCATATAACGTCTTCTCATAAAAAGGGCGAAAAAGTCGTCGGATCCGAATCAATTTCAAATGCATTCGTTCTTAAATCAAAAGACGTCGATGTACCAAATTTCATTAAAATATCTCAATAGAGAATACAAGACGCATGGATGGACCGACGGATTTCGATACTTAGATTGATTCAAAAGCATTTCTGAACCGATGTAATAAAAGGAGTGTTTATTTCAATTTCTTCTGAGCGGTTGTCTACACCCGCACAAACTTAATATACCCTTGCACCGCAAGTGGTCTATGGTATAAAGATTGTTTTTTTATTTAAATGACGCGAATATTATTATCAAGTTGCAGTTGAAATTTAAAGTCAATCAGTTCAAAATTGTCGCTTGTTAGAGTAATGGTTAAGGAAGGTTTGTGTGTGGGGAGGAGTTATTTTCCAGAATCTGCTGCGGCGTAATTTTTTTTTTTTTGGAAAAGTTTTTAATAATTTATTTTTTTTTTTTATATAAATTAATGAATGCATAGGCATGAGCAAAAAGTTAATTTAATGCATTGATGGGGTCTTCTGTAAATAAGTTCGAAAAGTAACTCAGAATTTGGAAAAAAGGTAAATACTTTTTCTCTTTAGGGAGTTGCTGGGCTATAATGATGGCTTTAGCGGATTGAAAGGCACTTAAGAAGAAAAAACGAAACAAGTCAAACACAGCACCTTGTGCAAGGGTGTGGTAAGTTTATAGCGGACATAGGCAGCGGAGCAGAAAAGCTTCAGATTGACCTACTTTTTATTATACCGAGTCAGAGTCAGAGACCGTGTCTGAATCAGAGTTACTTTCTGATTCGATCTAAGCTTGCCTGCCCTCTTATACGTTCTTTCGCTTAACCGCCTTGTGTTTGCCCTCGAGATGTTTTGATGAAGTTGCAACGACCGACATGTTTCCGTCCAAGGACGAGCTATTTTGACAATGGTTCAGATCGAACTGCTTTGTCGTCCTTATTTTGAAAAGCTATTTGATAAATAACTGTATTAAGGGAAAAGTCACAGGGTACTTAATGGTGGACCATGCCTCACTAGAGTGTTTTAATTTGATTTTATGTTTTTTATTTATACCCATCACTGTAAGGTATGGGTATACCCATATGTATGTTGCTTGTTTTCATAATGTATGTAACACCCAAAAAGCAACTTCTCAGAGACCCTACAAAGTATATATATTCTTGATCGGCATGAAATTTTGAATTGATTTAGTCATGTTTGCGGGTGTGTCCGTCTGTGCGCAATGGGTGTTTTTCGCACTCCCACAGTCGCAGAAATGAAGCAATTGACTTCAAAATTCGCATAAACATTGGAAGTTTTTGCACGCAGGTTGCTTTTGAAAATAGGCCAAATTGGTCGGAGTAGCGGAGCGTAAACTGAATGCAACTCAGTTTTTTTCAAACAAATATTTTTTGATTTTTGCTCGCTACTCAGAAATTATTAAAGCTAGAAGGTTGAGATGCTCCACATCTACTTCATGAAACATTCTACTCTTTAGGTCCACAACTGGAACCAAACAAGACCGCACATAGTTACGAGAGATTAAAGTTTAGTTTTTTCACTTTTTTGAGCTTTTATGCTTATTTATCATAAGGCAAACAACATAGAGTAAAGTATTTTATACATCCCTCAACTTAAGATCATCCCTGAAATAAAGATTATCTGCCTAAAAATGGGTTAATTCTAAAACGAATATATATGTAGACATATGTAATACCAGCGATATGGATATCAAATAAAAGACCTTGGAGAGTGGAATGCGAAAAGCATATTGGTAGGTGTGTGGGGATCGGCCCCCCCTTCCCCCCGCCGAATAAAAACTTTCTTACTTGTTTTACTCTCATTTCTATGAGTTGACACATGGTTGACACGTCTGACGATATTGTTTACAATAGTTGATATGAGAAAACAATTTGCTGAAGAAAATACGCTAATGATAAGGATCTGTACTCAGCTTTATTGTAAAGTAAATAGCACAACAGTTTTGCGGTTGAGTTTGAATAGACACTAATTGTGAACAATTTACTGCAATGATAAGACAACTTACGCGAATTACTAGATTTAGTAAGTTTTTCGTGTGATTCGCTTTTACCTTTGCTCATTACATTCACCGCAAAACAAACGAAGGCATTCAAGCTCTCTCTTATTATCTTCGTAATATATGGATGTTCGTGCAAACATGTCAATATCTACAGACGTGTGTATTTATTACTTGTGTAATTATTAATATCATATAGGGTGGGTTAGGTTAGTGTACGCAAATCCTCGGATTTTCTTCACTATTTGCAGTTAAAGTTGAAATATGATGAAATTCGTCCGAGGAATTTAAATATTTTTTCAACTTCATTTACTCCTCGAACAGCGAAGGAAAGAAAAAATGATCAATTTGCAGAAGGGTGTGAAGATAAAATCGAACTTAACTGGTAAAGCCACTTACCCTTTAACAGAGCTCTGGAAATGCTCTAACAAAGGTACTTACGCTTAACCTCTAACATAGGTGCCTACCCTTCGCCTTTAACCGAGCTCTTTAAACGGCCTGACAAAGGCACCTACGCTTAGCCCCTAACAAAGGCACCTACGCTTAGGCTCTAACAAAGGCACCTTCAACACTTATCCAAAACTCTGTAAGCGCCTTATCCAAAGCTCTGCTAAACACCTAGAAGTATGATATAGTTGAGTTTGGAGGACTAATCCGTTCATAAAACAAGAACGCAAAATATTTTTATGGATACCTCACGAATCTGTATGAAAAGAGCTTTCAAATCAGCTAAAGAATTATAGATGCTGCTGCATAGGAGCAATTTTTAACATTGTTTTGAAATTAGCTACGTTAACAAAAAATAGATTTGGGGCAACATTTTTTAGAACATATTTATGATGTTTGCTAATATAGACGGAGTAGGCTTCCTTCTAAATTCAACTATGTCTTAATTCTAAATATTTAATAGAGCTATGTTAGGTCAGGAGCTTTGTTAAGGTCTTTTATAGAGATTTGTTAAGGCAGATGTTAGGTGTCTTTATTAGTTAAATTCGAATTTA